ATCCCAGGAGACCGAAGACTTGGCGGGAGACAGCGAAGGTATCCCGCCAAGAGGGTAGGATCCCAGGGAGCCCTCGGGATTCTAGGAGATAGAAGAATGGGATGAATGGTATATAGTGTAGGACACTCTTTGGATATTTCCTATTCTTTATAGTTAACTTTGAAAGCTTGCTTTCATATCTAAATTGAAGCCACTCGTCTTTATACGAATTATTAGCCTTCTCTTAATATTTGTTACATCGTACTATCGTATAGTGTAGGATATTCACCCCACCCCTTTTGGTACCACTATCCCTCACGCTCGAATTACTGAATACCCGTAAGGTCCGGACCTACGGTTAGGTACGTGGAAACCCCTTGTAACATTAAGGTGGGGGGGAAACCCTCGCGCGTTTAGGTTAAGTATATACTTAATAATTACCTCCTCTTTTATCTTAAGTAGTTTTATTGAATTGGGTGCATAGTTATGTTAAAAGGTAACTCTAGCGTATTACGTGCCTAGTGTACTTTAGGAGACACTATAGATAGCTATAGCGCGTCGCTAGGATAGTGTTATATCTTATTTAAGAGCCTAAAGCGCGAGTTGTATTCTAGCTTCTTTTAAAGTAGGTAGCTGTTGAGGTAGTTAAGATATTATGGCTACTATTAGCTGCCGTTAGTAGTTGATGGGGTCTTGGTATAGTGGCCAGCTCACTCGTGTGGCCAGCTCGCCCGTAAGGTACGTTAATAATTAATTTAGGCTACTTAACCTTTAGATTTATATTAGAGAAACTAGTTTAAAAGACCCACCTATAGCGTATATAGTTACTATAATAAAGGGAGGTCGTTATGTTAGATTTACATAGTGATTTAATGAATATCAGTGATCTAGAGATGAGATGGATTAATTATTTAGTGTATTGGCCGAGGTTCTATCTAGGGCACCCTTTTGTGTGGGTCTTGGTTAATAACCTATCCTAGCCCTATTTCGGCTAAGTCTCGATATCCTGCCTCTAGCCTCTACCCTAGCCATCTAATAACAACACTAAGATACTTAGAACACGCCCTTATATCTAACATACCCCCTTAGCTCGGTACGTTGTCGCTACCTAGGCTGGTTAATTAGGCGATTAATTATTAGAGTACTTAGTGAAGGTAGTCCTATATCTTATTGAGTAGTATAGTTCTTATCACCTCTATACTCATCACGTTAACAAGACCTAGTTAATTAAGTAGGCCTTGCCATTTATTGGCCGGCAACACCTTAGTAAGTCTATTAGTAATTATATCATCCGATCTAATATACTTAATGGTGATTATTCTAGTGGCGACCTCTTGTCTTAGCTAGTAGGTGTAGATATCCACATATTAAAGCTTAGTCTAGAGTTTTAATACTTCCTAAGTTACCAGCCGAATTATTTGCTTATTATTACATTAGATTATAATCATTATGCTGGGTAAGTTGACCTTCAGCTCCTTTAATAGTCGGGAGAGGTATATTGCTTCCTTAGCCACTTGCGTAAGGGCTAGGAGCTCTATCTTAGTTATTAATATTATAATGGTATCCTGTTTGGTTACTCACCACGCGATTAAGCCACTAAATAGCTTAATTATATATCCTTAAGAGCTTTTCCGATCTAGAGTATTATTAGTGAAAGAGGCGTCACTAGTGACCTAAAGGGTATCTCTACCTCCTAGCTATAGGGCCTTTTACCTTATTACTCTAAGGTAGAGGAGTACTTAATCAGCTATGTCGTGGTACTCTTAGCCTGGGTTTGTAAGGAATCGGGCCAATCGTGATGTAGCGAAAGCGATATCTAGGCGCGTTGTTATGGCGGCAAATAGTAGGGATCTAATCTTTCGTTAATACTTATTAACCTCTAATAGCGAGGCTAACCCTATGTGGGGCTTTAGCTCTACTCTAGCCATGGGCGTATTATATCGGTAATCTAATT